ACACAAAAACTGGAGTCTCTAGGTGTGGTGGCACATGCCTGTAATCCCAGCACTTAGGATGCCGAGACAGGAGGATTGCCATGAGTTCAAAGCCATCCCGGACTACATAGTGAGTTCAGTTTGAACTACATAGCAAGATCCTGTCAGAAACAAAACAAAACTGGAGTCTGAGGCAAATGCGGACTCCTCACCTTACACTTGAGTGCCTGAAAAAGTCATTGAATTATTTGAATCTCACTTTCCTCATTTACAGAGTGTCCTAATTACACAGTGTTGTTTCCCATACAGAATAATGCAAGTGAAGCTACTTGATAAACTGTAAAGTGCTAAACAAATGTTAGAGGTTGCTGATTATGGTGATTGATGCCTGTAATCCTAGCACTTTGGGAAGATGAGGCAGGAGTATCTTCAATTTGAACCCAGCCAGTTTATGCAGTTAGTGACTAAGGAAGATCCTGTCTTTTTTTTTTTTTTTTTTTTTGTACCAGGAATCAAACTCAGGACCTAACACTTGCCAGGCAAGGTGCTTGTGCCACTGAGCTATATCCCTGGCCCAAATCCTGTCTTTAAAATCCAAGAAAGCACCTTTTCACTGTAACCGAAGAACATTGATGACAGCACCTCTGACAGCTCTTCCAGCCACGCCCTGGTGGTTGGCGCTGATCCCTATTACCGCAAAGTGACAGCCACCATGGGCAAGAAGAAAATCACCAAGAGGTGAAAGATCAAGTCCTTTGTGAAGGTTTATAACTACAATCACCTCATGCCCACAAGGTAGTCTGTGGACATCCCCTTGGACAAGACAGTGGTCAACAAGGATGTCTTCAGAGACCCAGCCTTCAAGCACAAGGTCCAGCGGGAGGTGAAGGTCAAGTTCAAGGAGAGATACAAGACCAGCAAGAACAAGTGGTTCTTCTAGAAGCTCCGCTTTTAGATGTTTTTGTTACATCATTAAAAATTTCACATAAATAAATAAAATAAAATAAAAGCTAAGAAAGCAAAAACAAAACACAAGCAAACAAGGATCAGGGATTTAGCTCAGCAGTATGGCACCAGCTGGCAAGCATGAGGTCCTGACTTTGACTCCCAGTACTCCCCACCTCAAAAAAACAAACAAAAAACAGGGATAGCCAGGCATGGTGGTGCACACCTGTAATCCCAGCACTTGGGAGGCTGAGGCAGGAGGATCGTTGCAAGTTCGAGGCCAGCCTCGGCTACAAAGTGAGTTCAAGGCCAGCCTGAACTCTGCATAGCAAGACCCTGTCTCAAAAAGACAAAAACCAAACAAACAAAACAAAAAAAAACAGGCATATACAGGTCAGGGATGTAGCTCAGCGGCATAAGTGTTTGCCTGGCAAGCCTGAGGTCATGAGTTTGATTCCCAGTACCAAAAAAAAAAAAAAAACAAAAAAACAGGGATATAGGCTCAGTGTAAAGGCCCTGAGTTCAATCTCTTTGTGGCAAAAAATAAATAAATAAATAAAGTTATATTAAGGTACACAACCCCCATGCCAAAAGCTGCCAGTGCACATTGAAAAATCTGGGGGAAGTCAGGCATGGTGGCACATGCTGTAATCCTGGCAGTTGTGGGGATGAGGCAGGAGGATTGAGAATTCAGTGCTAGCCTAGGCTACATAGCAAGACCCTATCTCAAAAAAAAAAACAACTATATATATATATATATGCAACTCTATTCTCACTTCCATTGTGGTCTGCCCTCACACTGTAGGGTGTACTTCTTTTCTTACTTTTACTTGGCTCAAACTAGCTCTGAAGAGCCTGTTTCTTTCCATACCTTTCTTTTTTGGGGGGAGGGGGGTTGTTTGTTTTTATTTTTTGACACAGGGTCTTACTATGTAGTTCAGACTGGACTTGAACTCACTATGTAGCCAAAACTGGCCTCAAACAGCAATTCCCCTGCCTCAGCCCTCCAAGTGCTGGGAGTACAGGTGTGGGCCACCACCCCCAACTATCTTTTCCTATTTTTTTTTCTTTTCCTATCTTTAATAAAATTTGTTACCATTTTAAAAACTTTCTATCTAAAGTTCCTTCCTCCCCCAAAAAGTTATTCCCAGGCTAGAAAACAAAGGACTCCTAAAGGCTCCTAAAAATGCATTTTACCTGAAAGGAAGCAGCTGGTTTGCCCCAATGTATACTACTCAAATGTTAAGGAAAAGAAAAGAAAAGACAGACCAAAAAATGTTAGAGGACATAGGAGTTTCTTGGAGTTTTGTTTTTTTGTTTTGAGAAAAAGTCTCACTACATAGTTCAGATTGGCCTTGAACTCATTACGTAGCCCAGGCTGGCCTCAAACTCTATAATCTTCCTGCCTTAGCCTCCCCGATGCTGGGACTACAGGTGTGCACCATCACACTCAGCCAAGATTTTTTTTTTAGTACCAGGAATGGAATTCAGGACCTTGCGCTTGTCAGGCCGGTGCTGAGCTAAATCCCCAACATAAAAAATTTTTTAAACAGGGTCTCACTATGTAGCCCCAGTTGACCTTGAAATTGAGGCAATAATGCCAGACATGGCGGCACATGTCTGTAATCCCAGAGTTTGGGAGGCTGAGACAGGAGTATGACTGCGAGTTTGAGCCCAGACTAAGCTACACACTGAGTTTGAGGATGGCCTAGACTACATAGTTAGACTCTCTTAAAAAAAGAAAGAAAGAAAATAAATCAAGGTAATTCTGCCTCAGCTTCCCAAGTCCTCAGAATTCAGGCCTCAACCAGCATTCCTGGGCACCTAGAGACTTTTTAAAATTGAGATTCTGGGGTGGCTCTCAAGAGATTTTTAGCTCCAGAGAACCTTATAATACTGCAGAGACCACATTTTGTCTTTTTGAGACAAAGTCTTACTATGCAGTTCAGGCTGGTCTTAAACTCACTTTGTGGCCCAAGCTGGCCTCAAACTTGCAACAATCCTCCTGCCTCAGCCTCCTGACCCTGAGTGCTGGGATTACAGGCATGCACCACCACATCCAGCAAGACCACAATTTAAGTAGCCAGGTTTTAAATCTTTCACACTGTCCAGGTAACCTTGCTACTTTAATTCACCATTACTGAGGTTGTCACATCAAGTTTAAAAAATATAAGGTAAAAAACTATTACTGAGGTTGTCACATCAAGTTTAAAAAATATAAGGTAAAAAACTAATGGCAGTTTGAGGAACCTGTCTAAGAAAGCACTCCCTCAGCCTCCCCTTGGCAATTAGGTTTACTTTTTTTGGTTTTTCTTTTGGTACCAGGAATCGAACGCACGACCTTGCGCTTGCCAGGCAGGCGCTTTTGCCGCTGAGCTAAATCCCCAGCCCCCAATTAGGTTTAAAGAAAGGAATTCGGTGACCCTGATAGAGATTGATGGACAGCGGTGAGGACCCACCGGCAAAGACTCTGTGCCTCTATCATAATACCATCCGACCCCAGAAGCGTCCCAGAAATCACTCCTGTCTGCAACTTGCACCGCCCTTCGATGAAGCCTTGGTTTTCACCAGCTGGCTGTGCGTTATAATCATCGGTTAGGAGCCTGCCTCCTTACCCTGCAACGCGAACAGCGGGCGGAGGGAACAAGGCTGTTCTGGCCCCTGCCCAGCTCCGGCCTGGCCCAAGTAAAGCCCCCTCCCTCGTACTTCTTATTTACCCGGTACTGAGTGTTTTCACAATTTGCAGAGTCCTGGAAAAACCAGAGGCTCAGGCCTAGCGCTTTCCCTCGCTAACTTCACCAGGGGGCGCGACGGCCCCGGCGACAGAGCGACTGTGCCCCGCCGCCCCAGGGCCTCCGAGAGCTCAGCGGGAGGTCTCCGCCAGCCCCGCCCTAAGACGCGGGCGGGAAACCGAGGCAGCTGCCCGAGACTTCTAAACGGAGACGCCGCACACGCGCGCGCGCACACGCCTCGGGAGGCAGAGCCGGAGTCTGGTCCCTGGAGCTCGGCCCGCCGAACCCCGGCGCCCCGGGCCGGGCCGGTAACCAGGCGCACATGGCCCGCCCGGCCCTGTTTGTGCTGGCAGCGCGCCGCCGCTATTTGAGGCGGTTTTTATCTCCCAGAAACCAGCAAAACCCCAAGCGGAGTCTAGGGAAGATGAAAGGAGCCGAGGGGCCGGGGAGGGGAGGACCGCGAGGCTGCGGCGGGCGGGAGCTGGCACCGGACAGGAGGAGGCCGGGAGGCGAGAGGGCCAGACGCTGGGGGGTCCGGGAGCCGGCCTCTGAGCGGCTCCCCGGCGCCCCGGGCCTGC